AGGGAGATTCAGTCAAAAACCTTAGTCCAGAATTTGCCCATTGTTGAAGAACCAAAAGGAGTTTGCCAAGCATGTCAATTAGGCAAGATGGGTAGAAAACCTTTTCCAGTGAATCAAGCATGGAGAGCCTTTGAAAAACTTTAGCTTGTTCACTTGGATGTGTGTGGTCGAATACAATCATTATCCTTAAATGGAAGTAGATACTTTGTATTGTTCATAGATGATTGGTCTAGGATGTGCTGGGTTTACTTTCTAAGGCAGAAAAATGAGGTGGCTGGTGTATTCAAAAGGTTCAAACAACAGGTGGAAAACCAAACAGAAAAGACCGTCAAAATCTTGAGAAGTGACAATGGTACTGAATACAATTCTCAAGAGTTTGAAATGATCTGCAAAAAGAGGCTGGAATCAGACATCAATTCAGCAGCCCTTATACTCCACAGCAGAATGGAGTTAGTGAAAGGAGGAACATGACTCTTATGGAGATGGCAAGGTGTATGATGGCTGAGAAAAAACTTCCGAAATTCTTCTGGGCAGAGGCTATCAACACAGGGGTCTACTTGCTCAATAGACTTCCTACTAGAGCTTTGATCAGTCAGAGCTTTGATCAGTCAAACACCAATTGAAGCCTGGACTGGAGTCAAAACAGTAGTGGATGATCTAAAAATTTTTGGAAGCATATGCTATGTTCTTGTACCACCTGCAAAAAGAACAAAGCTAGAGGATAAGGCTTTGACAGGAATTTTGATTGGCTATAACAACCAATCTAAAGCTTATAGAGTATATGTTCCTGATTCAAAGAAAATAATCATTTCTAGGGATGTTACAGTTGATGAGAGTGGAGTCCGAAATTGGGAGAAATGTGAGGGTGATGTAGAAACAAGACCTCAATTGAGTGAAGCTCTAGCAGGTTAGGTTGAAGAAAATCCAGGAGATGAATTAGATGAAGAGGTTCTGTCAAAGGAACAAGGTCTTTGGCTGATGTGTATGATAGATGCAATTTGGCACAAATGGAACCTTCAAACTACTCAGAGGCAGTGAAGTCAAAACCTTGGAGGATTGCCATGAAGGAGGAGCTAGCCATGATTGAAAAAAATCAGACCTGGAAGCTTGTGGACAGACCAGAAAACAGAAAGGTGAATCCAAATGGTTCAGTTTTGAAGCATAAGGCCAGGCTTGTTGTCAAAGGATTTGCTCAGCAATATGGAGTGGATTTCCTAGAGACATTTGCCCCAGTTGCCCGGCATGACACCATCAGACTGCTACTTGCTGTGGTAGCTCAATTTTCTTGGAAAGTTCATCAATTGGATGTAAAATCTATCTTCTTGAATAGCTGGTTGAATGAGGAAATCTACATTGAACAACCAGAAGGGTATCAGATTCAAGGAGAAGTGGGAAAGGTCTACTTGCTGAAGAAGGCCTTATATGGCCTAAAACAGGCACCAAGGGCCTGGTATAGCAGGATTAATGACACCTACCTAGTCTTGACTTCGTGAGGAGTCCAAATGAGCACACTATATACATTAGAGAAGCCGAAGATGATGTAATGATCATTTCACTGTATGTGGATGATCTTTTTGTGATTGGAAGCAATCAAGCTCAAGTGGAGCAATTCAAAAAATCCATGCATAGTGAGTTTGAAATGACAGACTTGGGTGAAATGTCATATTTTCTTGGGATTGTAATATCCCACTTGAGGTACGTATTTAAGAGTTGTTGTATTAGTTAAAAGTTTATTGTTTTAACTTAAATTGAGTTTGTATGTGGAGTTGGTTGAATTGTTGCCTTGAAAATGGGTTGAGTTTTGGTGAAGTTGGAAATTCAAACTTCGCCGGGGCGAAGAAGAAGCTTCGCCGCGGCGAGGAGGAGAAGTGGCATTCGGGTAGGTTCTGCCCAATTTCGCCGAGGCGACGAAAAATGCTTCGCCGCGGCGAAGAGCCTAAAACAATGATTCTTGAGTTTTCTAGAGAATTCTTCTTTTGGGACACAATGACCATTCTACCCCTAATTAGTAGGAAAAGTGGGGAGTAAAATGAAAGGAAATTTAGTAGAGATTGTGTTTGTATGGGGGTGTAGTTGTAAAGAATCAAAGGATATAGATGGAATTTCCAAGAAAGGACAAGGGCAAAATGGGAAATGAAGCTTTTAATATGAACTAAAAAGAGTAAAGTGTAGAGAAAGCCCTTACTCATCTTCATTCCACCGCCTCTTCCATTGCCCATATTCTCTCAATTTCTCCACCCAATTTTCCAAGAGTTCTAAGGGATTTAAGAGGGGTTTTGAGTAGAGATTTCATCTAAAGCTTTCTAAGGTAAGAATTCATGCTTTAGATGTGAGTTTTCTTGTATTTATAGTGAGGTCTTATTGTGTTGTTGCTGCCCTTGTGGTTGTTTTGAGTTGTAGAGAAGAGACAAGCCAACAAAGGGAAGGAAAAGTGCTAAGGAACCCATCTTTGCACAAGGTAAGTAAATCCAACCAAGTTGAGTTATGACTAAGCTTTGAGTAGAGACTTATTTTAATTATGTATGTACATGGTATACCTACTGAAAATTGAGATGAGATGTGTGCTTAGTCTTAGTAGTTGGGATTGATTAAATATGAGAAGTGTTGTTGATATGTGTATTGAGAATGGAGTTTGAGATGAAGTTTGAGAGATGTTGTGTAATCCTTTTTGGGAGTGCTTTTCTTGACAGGGATTATGAGTAATTGAGGGAGTTTTTCCCCAATTTGGATGGCTAGAAAAATGAAGTTTAGTAGTAATTTTCGTAGGGTGTTTATATGCACATGAGATGTTTGAGGAAATGCCTAAGTGAAATCTGCCCTGTCACTGCCGTAACTTTCTGAGTAATTTTTGAGTATCTTACGGTTCGAACTGGGCTGAGACCAAAACAGAGAAGTTGTAGCCCTGTTTCTAAGCTTTGAAACGAGACCAGAACCGTAGTAATCCGAGGTGTATAGCATAAGTTATGGCCGTTTTAGTGTGACTGGTGCAGAATGACTGTTTTGAGGAAATCTTGTAGTTGGCATTTCATTAGTGCATTAGGGAGCATGAGATAGCTCTACACCTTTGTTTATACACTTGAGAAGTAGCTTGAGATTTAGTATAGAATGTGAGTATAAGTTCTTTAAGAGTAAAGAGAATAGAGTAGGTTGTGCGATGGGGAACCCGTGAGTAATGGGTAGAGTATTCCCGCATGTACGCCGCATTGAGAGAGCGGCATGAGTATCAGATAGAGAAGTGGTGTAGCCCGTGAGAGTGCATGCGGATGAGGGCTATACCCGAGTACCCGAGAGAGAGAGATTATATACTCACATGGCCAAGGGTTCCGAATCCATGCATAACCGAGTCCGATCGGCTAGAATAAGTAGAGATCACGTAGAGTGGGAGTGAGTCCCGGCCGTGCCCCCGATGAGATGGGGTCGTGATTTATGAAAGAGTTATGAGAAAAGAGTTCTAAGAGAAAGAGAAAGAGAAAAAGAGAGAAGTACCCAAAGAGTTATTGAATGAGGAGTTGTAAGGAAAGAATTAGAGAAAGAGAGTTACGGGGCTAGTATGAGTAGAGGATTTACTTACTGAGCATTGTTTTAGTGCTCACCCCGTTGTTTTCCCATGTTTTGCAGGACCTAGGTGAGGACACTGTCGGATGGATGTCGGCGCGCGAGGAGGAGTGGTTACACTGTCCCTGATGTTTTTGATGACCTTTTGTATACTTTGTACATTTTGTGTAAAAATGTTTATGTTGTAAAAAGTATGTACATATGTTTAATAAAAGAAAAACTTGGGCCCAATTTCTTTATGTTATTTTATATGTATTTCATTATAATCTTTTGAGTAGTAGTTGTCATTACAGGGATAGAGATTGATCAAGATGCAGATGGTATCTTTGTGAACCAAAGAAAGTATGCAAGTGAAGTCCTGAAGAAATTCTACATGGAGAATTGTAAACCAGTGGACCTACCACTGGTTCCAGAAATTGTCAAAAGATGATGAGGCAGAGAAGGTTGATGAAGGTTTATAAAGGAGCTTGGTTGGTTGCCTTCTGTACTTGACAACAACCAGACCAGACTTAATGTATGCTACAAGTTTGCTGTCCAGATTTATAAGCCAACCAACCGAGACTCACTTCAAGACTGCAAAAAGGGTGCTGAGATATGTGAATGGTAGTCTGACTTTGGGGTGTGGTTTAGGAGATCAGAAGAATTCAAGTTGATTGGTTTTTTTGACAGTGACTGGGCTGGTTCAACAGATGATATGAGGAGTACTTTAGGATATGCATTTTTCTTAAATTGTGGTGCTATTTGTTGGCTATCAAGAAAGCAAGAAACCGTGGCTCAATCCACAGCAAAAGCAGAGTATATATCTGCTGCTGCTGTTGTGAATCAAGCCATTTGGCTGAGAAAGATTCTTGAGGATTTGAAACTGAAGCAGGTCAAGCCTACTGCCATTATGTGTGACAACCTATCTGCTGTAGCAACGGCCAAAAATCCAGTGCATCATGGACGTACAAAACATATCAAAATTAAATGTCATGCAGTGAGAGAGGCTGAACAAAATGGTGAAGTGGAACTGATGCATTGCAAGAGTGAATTACAAGTGGCTGACATTATGACTAAAGCTGTTTCCAAAGCCAAGTTTGAAGAATTCAGATTCAGACTTGGTGTTTCCAGCCAACCATCAAGGAGGAGTGTTAAATTCTGATAGTTAGCTGGAAATGCAGCAGTTTGACAACCTGTTTTGAATATGTTCTGGCTTCAAAATTGTATTGCAATCTACCGTCTGTCATGTGAGGCAGCCTTGATTAATTCATTTTGTAATGGTTTAGATTTTGTACCGCCAGGTTATATGGGATGTCTCTATATTGGTTGTTGTAAGTTGGTATTAATGTATGGCTTAGATTAATGTTGGGTAAAATATGTCTGCAAAGTGGTTGTCAACAGTGAACCTTTTTTGCTTTATTAGTTGATGTAAAACTCATTTTGTAATAGATCAGATCACCCCTTCAGTTTATCAGTTTGCTTTTCTTTCTTTTCTTTGCATTATCCGGCATTAGCAACAACATCTGGTTCTGTTGTTGGCGACTCTGTGTTGAAGCATCTTTGGCATCATCAGGATGCCATATTGTGCGGTTCATTGAAGGTATATTTTGAAGTCTATCAAAATTTACATCCTGTCCATTTGTGATATAGAAATTACTTTTTTAGAATTAAGTTCCTTAATATTGAAGAAACCAATCAAATTGTTTAGTCTGGAATAAGTTTCAGTGATTTTTTGCTTATGCATCTTTGTTGATGCTGCAGTCGCTTCCAGTTTTCGTCTCTGCAAACCAAGCAGGCCTTGACATGCTGGAGATAACTCTAACGGCTCCACAAGATATCTCACTGGATAAAATTTTTGATGAGTCTGGCGAAAGTCATTATGTGCTGACTTCGCCAAGTTAATGCAGCAGGTAAGCTAGTTCCTTCTACCGTTGATTGAATTGGGGTTGAGAAATGCAAATTCTAACCTACTGACAGTTATATTTTTCCATCAGGGGATCCCAGCCTCAGGTTTGCATTTATATTAGTTTAATTGAATTTTTAGTGCACCAAAATTTTCCTTAGTGTTGCTTTCTCCTCTTCGAACTTGAAACTGAAACTGATACTGAAGGAGGAGAAATGATTGACTCTTTTACACTTCCAGACAAGGTGAATCACGGGCTTTTATTTAAAAGCCTTAAATTCTTTGACAGATATCATGCTAATATGTCTAGTATTTAATATGACATTTAAATCTCAACAGTTTGATTGTGTTTGTGCATGGATTTTTTCATTATACGAAGCTGTGAAATAAATGAGGTTTAAAAGGATGCACTATTCCACCATTGGTGCTTGGTTAAATGTATTAAAAAATGTGACAGTTTTCCATCCATCCCTGTATATTTGGTTTTTTCAAGGCTTTTCTGCAAAATCTTATCCAGGCATTTATTAATGTCTTCGTATATTTGGTGTTGAAAATCCAAGCATTAATTAATGTGTTTGTATAATTTATTTACTAGTGCTTAATTGTTGTTAGAAAGTTGAAACATTTTGGGTTATATATATATTTAATTTATCTACGTAAGTATATATTTGATACTTGTTCTAACAATTTACTTATAACTCTTAGGTAAGATATAAGTTGAAAGAGGAATGGCAGAAACACTATATGTTTATGAAGATGGGTGCTCTTTGGAGAGCTTCAAAGTCTAAGCTGATGAGCAAAATTAAGACGGCCAGAGGAAAGAATGGCCCTCGAACTTGATAACATCAAGATTATTGGTGAATGGAAAAAGTTTGTGAAAGAAAAAATAGGGTCAAAGTTTAAGATGATTATATCACTACACACATTTGATTAGAGATGGCAATGAGCTTGATATTTCTGAGCATCCGGCCTGGCCCGTCCCAAAAAGGCCGGGTTTTACCTGGCGTTTGCGGGCTTGAGCTTGGGCTTGGACCTGGGCTTGATTTAAAGCCCGACCTCGAGTACCAGCTGGGCTTGGGTATGTTTTCTTACCTGACCCGAAAATTTTAGTATTAATTTTGCTAAATTACCCTTATACTATATATTTAATTATAATATTATTTTACATATATATACCCATTTTTCCCAAACCCTAATCTCATCCCATTTGGTGAGTATTAAAAACTAAATTAATATTTAAAAACTGTTTCTAGAATTAAAAATATAAAAAAGAATTCAAATTTATTAATATTTAAAAATTTACATTATAAAAATGGGCGGGCTTGGGCCGGGCCTGAGGTTACAAAAAGTCTGTCGGGTCGGGCTTGGGCTTTACTTGTCATACCCGTGATGGGCTTGGGCCGGGCTTGGGCCTTTGTCATGAGGTTGGGCTTGGACCTGGGCCAAGGGGTACCCGGTCCCGGCCCGACCCATTGTCATCACTACATTTGGTTGTTATATTATATGCATATGAGTAATGTTGATGCAGTTGTGTATGGTTATTTTAAGGGAAAAGTGAAGAACTGAAAAATAGGAGGAAAAAACAAAATCTCTACACAGGCGGTTGAAGGGGTTATGCTCGCATGACTATGGATATAGTAACATCTCATTCTTTGTTATGTGATTGTAGTTTTAAATTGAAAAACATTTATCTACTTTTAATCTTTTATAGTTGTTTTTGCAATATTTTACAACTTATACTGTTGTTCAATTTTGTTTAATAAAAGCAACACTAATAAATGTACTATTCAATAAATTAATGGAGAGATTGTTGAGTGTCTAAATTTATTGTTGAATTGTGATAATTGTTATTGGTTGAGAAATATTATGAATAATTTCGTTGCATTATTCCATAATTTAATTGGTAATAACTAGGAAAATAAACTAATTACAAAATAAAAAAAATTAGAAAAAAATCATTGATAGTTTGAAAACTATCAAGGATTTGGTTAAAATTCGACTAAATCCTTAGTAATTTTCGAACTGTCAAGAATCTATCAAGTGATAGTTCGAAAACTGTCAACCCTTTCTTGATAGGGGCTTCCTTGACAGTTAATAACTGTCAAGAATTAGGGTTTTTATTGTAGTGTTACATTTTGTGCTTATGTTTGTTGATTCACACTTAACTTGATAATTTTTAATCAACTTGGTAAAATCATTTCCGTTATGCTTTAAAAATGGATACCTAAACGTTGATTAGAGTTTATTAATTCTGACAATATATATATATATATATCAAACCACAATAACAACCTTGGCATCTTTGTTAATATTTAAAAAATTAGGAGTCAAATACAATAGTTTTTTATGTTATTTAATTTTATTTCTTTTATATCATTGTTAAGAGTAGGAAGTAAAGTCATGTAAGCTCAATATTTGTTGAGGTTTTTTGTGTTGAAAATAATCTATTCAAGGTCATGCAGTATAATTTTTCGGTGTACTTGCCATTTTTGAGTTTTATTTATTGTGCATTTTTCTGCCACATAATCTCAACATAGCCATGTTTTGGTCTAATTATTTCGTTTGGCTTGACTTGGGATCTAAATAATGTACCAAACCTTCCAACTATCGAAAAATAAAGACTTCTACTATTTGGAGAGTTTACTATTTCGAATTGATTTAGTAATATATGGTTATTAGTTGGTTGGTTGGGTTTCTTTTTTTTCCAGTTGATTCTTTGAATAAAATCAGCTTTCACATTTTCTTTTTCTTTTTTTCAAGTGCTTTTAAATTACTAGACGACAAATAACTTTTTAACGTTTGGCTCATGTGTTAAGGGTATATAGAAGACATTATTCATGATCCACGCCCTTTCATTTTACACATTTCCATTTCACAGAAAGTAGGAATTATTAAGCATTGCTATGCTTTAATCTAATTTAAAAAAAAAATATTAGCGTCGTAGACTGGTTGTTTGGCGGCCCAATGTTGCCAAGACATGTTGTACTTCTGAAAACGCTGTTAGACATGGGAATATAATTATTGCATATTAAAACGATTTTATTTATTTATTTTTTATGTTAGAAAATGGTGCCATCATAAGACACTAAAGAAAATAGGTCTTTGCAACTTGAAATTTTTGTTGTTGAAACCTTTTAACAACAGGCGCCTAATCAGACCATGTAATAGCCACTACTACTCAAAAGATTATAATGAAATACATATAAAATAACATAAAGAAATTGGGCCCAAGTTTTTCTTTTATTAAACATATATACATACTCTTTACAAACATATGCATTTTTACACACAATATATATATAACGTATACAAAAAGTCATCAAAACATCAGGGACAGTGTAACCACTCCTCCTCGCATGCCGACATCCATCCGACAGTGTCCTCACCTAGGTCCTGCAAAACATGGGAAAACAACGGGGTGAGCTCTAAAATAATGCTCAGTAAGTAAATCCTCTACTCATACTAGCCCCGTAACTCTCTTTCTCTAATTCTTTCCTTACAACTCCCCGTTCAATAACTCTTTGGGTACGTCTTTCTTTTCCTCTTTCTCTTTNGAAAATTTTGAAGGTGTGGGATCAGCCATCATTTGTTGTCGTTAAATTCCATTTGTTATTATGAATGATTTAAGACATTCACTTTACTTTGCTTCGTCAATGGAAAATGAATATGTCTAAAGCTGATTGATTGGATTGGCTTTGCCTTTTTTTGGAACTATTCTTGCGCACGCATTAAGACCCACCTTGTAGAATATTTCAACTTCAAATTCAATATATGTTTCAGGTATGGCCATGTTCAAATCTAGATCATTAATACAAGTCCTTTCACCTGGTTAAAACTCTGGTGAACTGAACTTCATCAGATTACTGGAACAATGAACAAGTAAACAACTGGTTTATTCTTAGATTAAACCTCTTCATTAATACACGAAAGTATTACTATGGGTCAGAGATTCTTGAAGAAATGGGATCATTTTCACCAATTTCTGCGTTCAATTCCTGGATATGGTCTCAGCAAGTACCTGATTAACTCTTGCTTGGTCATCAGCTACCGCTGCTGCCTTCGCACTTCTGCTTGAAATTGCAATTTTAGTATAATCTAACTACATGTAAACCAAATAAAACTAGTGAAACTTTTATCAACTTTCATTGCCAGTTGAGCTGAGTATTATTGTTAGAAGTATTTTATGTTTTGCAAATGTAGAAGGACAAAAAGGGTATTGGCAGTTTTGGCATTAAAAGATTTGGAAGTACCTGAGTGGAAATGGAAGACATATTCTGAGCTAACAACAGTAGGATAAATTGAATCTGTTATCACAAACTCCTTTCTTTGATGACGATGAGAAACCGTTCAAGAATCAAGAATCGATTTAACCTTCTCTTGATTCCCAAAATACTATCAAATGTTGGTAGACTGTTCAGAGAATATAGGATATGAGGGGAAATTATTTCTGCAATAAATTGATGACTAAATTTTAGTACTTCCTGCCAAGTAAGAAAGACACAACTGTCGATCGCTTGTAAAAAATTTAAGAATAGAATCATCAGTTTGCACTTCTCTTCATGATGCTTCAATTACGAGAGCAAGGATAATTAATTATTTTTCCATTTTCTTTCTCATCATTGTAACCTTCCAAAGGAAAAATAAAACTAAATGTAATCACATCACATTGACTCACCCATATTAATTTCACTTGTACTTCTTAAAATAATAATTGAATCAATTTTACGTTAAATGATGATATCAAATCATTAGAGCCTTTTTATTGAAGAAATTACGCAGAAAAATTGGTTGTATTACTAATTCAGAGTTTAAGTGACAAAAGAGTAGAGCATTAACACACAATCGAAGAGGGTTTGAAAATATTCCAGGTGATTGTTTACAGTTATCACTAAAATAATTCAATCAATTGGATCTCTCCCATTGCCAAATGGATAGTTACCCATCCATAACCAAATATGTATGTTGCAGCCTGATTTCATAAAACTATACACACGACAACACAACCAAGTTTTAAAACACAAAAAGCCAAGGGAAAGATCACAGATACACACGACATCGATATGTAAGCTTCAGCTATTAGTCCAAAATGGCCAGAATCTTCTTCCTCTTTCTGGATTTTTACATGGGATCTTCTCATCGGGACGCCAATGACCAAAAATTTAAGAGAAAAGATGGTAATGCAGTAAACCAGCTTATAAAGGCCATGGCAGTAGCAGTTTCAAACTGCACACAGTGATTCTGGTAACAGCTTTGAAGATCATTGTCAATAAGAACTGTGATGCCAGCAGATGCACATGCTGCAGCAAATGTAAGAGTCGATGTTATCTGCAAAAAAAACGAAACAATTTTATTTAAACATAAATAGAATTTTGAATATGATAAATAAACTCATAAATACGTAATCATGAATTAAGAATCTGTAAAAAGCAAGTTACGGTAGCAGTATGCCACAGAGAAGAAGGGTGGGACAAATATATTCAGGTAGTTACATAGCGTAGTGAATATTTACATGGCCTTCCAACATTTTAAGTGCATGCTGATAATCTTCTCAACATTCATATACACTGTTGGCAACATTCCTTAATCAAAATTTGTTCAAAGTCCTATTCTACAAAATAGCTGGGAATGAACATGATGAATGCTATCCACAAATGAACATCAAAGGTTTTCTATTAAATGTAAGATCAGAGATTCTAACCAGCATTAATTGTTCAAAATGGTTCCAAGAATATGCGAAGTTTTACATCTTCTGTATATACATTTTGCTGGAAAAGATTACCAGAGAAAAGATCTATAAAGTCAAACTCAATCTAGACTTGGCTCCATCCTGAATTGAGCTCTCAGTGAATAGCTTAAGTTTTTCAGTAGTACGACAACAATCTGATGCTGCATGTGATAAGGCAGCAGTTGGTTACTCGGCGCAGTGTCTATGACAAGATACTGAGACCAAAAGCAACAATGGCTTGAGCTATTACAACCAACATTTTTAAATTAAAAAGTAATTTAATGAAATTATTGCTTGCATTTTCATTTAAAAAAAGAAAGTTTCAACAAATTCTCTGAAAAGCATCATAGGCAAAACCAAGTAGTTCAAAACAGCCCAACTTCTTAGGTGTCAGAAAAGGTGTCAC